TGTCTTTTTTTTTTTTTTTTTAAGTTTTGAAGACGGAGTCTCGCTTTGTCACCAGCCTGGAGTGCAGTGGCACAATCTTGGCTCACTGCAACCTCCACCTCTCGGATTCAAGTGATTCTCCTGCCTCAGCCTCCTGAATAGCTGGGACTACAGATGTGCGCCACTATGCCCAGCTAATTTTTGTATTTTTTTTTTTTTTAATTTTAGTAGAGACAGGGTTTCACCATGTTGGCCAGGATGGTCTCTATCTCTTGACCTCATAATCCACCTGCCTTGGCCTCCCAAAGTGCCGGGATTATAGGCATGAGCCACCATGCCCAGCCTTTCTGTAGGCGCATGCCAGGATCAGCAGGCAGCAAAGAAATACTCTGGTCAGAACTGCCCTTTAAGGAGAGAAGACGAATGGGTGGGTGGGGGCCGGCGTAGGAGAAAGAAAATGCCAGTCTTCCTTCTGGTGCTTCTGGAGGAATCTAGGTCTCTTAGCTGCTAGCTCTCCCTTCCCCACCATTACACCAGATGGCGTCTCTTTCAGAAGCCAGACCAGGAAGAGCCAAGGAATCTCTCTGTGACCTGCAAACATGACTCTAGGCGCTAAACAAGAAGTTTCTCCAGCAGAAGGACAGGTCCAAGGAATGACAAGTATGAATAATAGCAACTCCTAAAATGTAGACAATGTAGACATTACTAGACAGCCAAGGAGGTATACTTATCCTCTCTCATGAGCCTGGAACATACCACATGACATTAAGTGAAAGGAAATACAGGGTTGCTTTGCTGCACACGCCTAGAGAGCGGAGAATTATGCAGATATAACAAAAGGTGCCAGGAGGCTGTGTTCCTCCATGCTGTACTGCACTTGTCAAAGGTACTGCTAAAAATAATGGACAAGATTAAATTGCCTACTAATGTCTGAAAAATGTTAACACTTACAAGTAAAGAAAAATATAAATCAGACCAGGCAAAGTGGCTCACACCTATAATCCTAGGACTTCAGGAGGCTGAGGTGGGTGAATCACTTGAGGTAAGTAGTTCAAAACCAGCCTGGCCAACATGGTGAAATGCTGTCTCTACTAAAAATACAAAAATTAGCCAGGTGTGGTGGTGGGTGCCTGTAGTCCCAGCTACTCAGGAGGCTGAGGCAAGGGAATCACTCAAACCCGGTAGGCAGAGGCTGCAGTAAGCTGAGATCATGCCACTGCACTCCAGCCTGGGCGACAGAGCAAGATTCCATCCACCCCCACAAAAAGAAAGCAAATCAAAATGTTTTCCCTTCTCTTGTGTTTACAAAGATTAATAAGAGTGCTAATGCCTAATGCTTGTGAATTCTGAGGGGTGGGCAACTGTCGCATGCTGGACAGCATGCAAACTGGGATGTTCATACTAGAAGGCATCTGGTGAGACTTCCCAAAACTTTATTTTTAAAGATTTTCTATTATTGATTAATTGATTGATTGACATGGAGTTTTGCTCCCCAGGCTAGAATGCAATGGTGCAATCTTGGCTTACTGCAACCTCTCCCTCTAGGTTCAAGTGATTCTCCTGCCTCAGCCTCCCAAATAGCTGGGATTACAGGCATGTGCCATCATGCCTGGCTAATCCTGTATTTTTAGTAGAGATGTGGTTTCTTCATCTCTACAGCCAGTTTGTCAGGCTGGTCTCGAACTCCCGACCTCAGGTGATCTGCCTGCCTCAGCCTCCCAAAGTGCTGGGATTACTGGTGTGAGCCACCATGCTTGGCCTAATTTTGTCTTTTTAGCAGAGATGAGGTTTTACCATGTTGGCCAGGCTGGTCTCGAACGTACCTCAGGTGATCCACCCACCTTAGCCTCCCAAAGTGCTGGGATTATAGGCATGAGCCACTGCCCCTCACCCCAAAACTTGAAAAGCATATATTATTTGACACAGAAACATGCTCAAGGAAAATAACTGGACAAGCATGCAAATATGGACACATGAGATACAAAGTACACATACACATCAATATACAAGAATGCCCTCCACCACATGAGTGTAATTATGGAAAATGGGAACAACCAACATGTTTATGAAAGCAGATGGTGCTTACATTATGGTGCATCTTTACGCGGTCCTCAGTGGAGTACCTTAACCACATAAATGCTGGAAGGTTCATAGTTCCTTCATTTTTTTTTTTTTCTTTTTTCGAGACAGAGTCTTGCTCTGTCACACAGGCTGGAGTGCAGTGGTGCAATCTTGGCTCACTGCAACCTCTGCCTCCTGGGCTCAAGCAATGCTCTCACCTCAGCCTACCAAGTAGTTGAGACTACAGACACATATATGCCACCAAGCCCAGCTAACCATATACACTGTATGATTTCATTTACATGATGCTCAAAAACAAAAGTGGACTTCGTAGCTATTCTTAAGTGCAGAGACTGCAGGGAGGGGCCTTTTGGTGCTCACTACATTTTCTTCCTCGGTCTGGCACTGGAAACTGTGGACACATGTATGTACCAACTCATCAAGTTGCAGCTGCTGATTTGCACATGGCATTATCAGTAGACTTGGACCTCAGCTGAAGCAAAAGTTTATTCCTCGGTGGGCTGTAGGACCTCCTGTCCATGCAAAGGAGGCCACTACTGGCTGAATCAGAACCGGCAACTAACTGCTCTTCCTCATGAAAGCTTCAAACAGGCTACTCTCACATTGTATGCAAACATCCAAACTAGCTGGTGATTCCCACCCTCGCCACAAGACACTCATTCAAGCCCAGGAGATGTAGGAAGTTGGGTTCTGGATCTGACTTACTGGTTGACAGTGAGAAATTATTCTCTCATACTGGGGAATGGCTTTCTTTTCTGAAAACAAGGACAGGATTAACTGATTTACTTGTGATTCTCTGGTGAATTAAAAAAAATAACTAATAGTTTTTATTCAATTTAAGCACTTTCCCTGAAAGTGCTTTTTTTTTCTTTGCCCCTCATGGTATCTGTATGTACAAATAAAATAAAGCTTAATTCCCATATCCTGGAGGCAGGCGAGGTAAGTTCAGCCCACAGCTCTTGGGTGGAAACGAGACAGTAAACATTTGCTGGGGCTTAAGATGCCTCAGGCCCTGTGTTCATTACTCAGCACTGCCACGGTTAAGACTCAAGCTCTCCAAGTACTTAGCAGAAAGTTCATGAACTTTGGAGCATTGTCAAGATAGGGAAAACTGCAAGTACCTGCTCTATGCATGTCCCCTGGGAAGCATGTTCAAAACATCTTCTTTATTGACTTAAAAAACCCCACAAAACTCTCCCACTGTGTGTGTGTGTGTGTGTGTGTGTGTGTGTGTGTGTGTGTGTAAGAGACAGGATCTCACTATGTTGCCCAGGCTGGACTTGAACTCTTGGACTCAAATGATCCTCCCACCTCAGCCTCATGAACTGTAGGCATGCACCACCATGCCCAGATCTCCTAGTGCTTAAACTGGTCCTAAAGCTCCAATATACCAGGCCCAGTACGCACGTACATACATACATTACTTACTTACTTACTTATTTATTTAATTATTTATTTATTTTGTAGAGACAGCATCTTCCTATGTTGCCCAGGCTGGTCTTGAACTCCTCAAGTGATCCTTCTGTCTTGGTTTCTCAAAGTATTAGGATTATAGGCTTGAGCCACTGTGTCTGGCCCCAGTAGATATTTATATGCCACAGCCCTCCAGGTTCTGAGTGTTATGTCTCTTCATTTCCTTCCTCAATTCTGGTAGCAGCAACAATGATGATCGTAATAATACTCACAAATACTAATACAGAGTGGCTACCAGGCCAGGCAACCTGAGAAACATTTGATATTCAAGTTCATTTAAATGTAGAAAAAATCCTATATTCCCCCATTTTATAGGTAAGGAAATTGAGGCACAGAAGAATTGAGTAACTTGCTCAAGAGTTCCTCTGCTAGCATGTGTCACAACCAACCAGGGTGACTCCATGCCTGGTTATTAACAACCAAGCTCTCCCAAGGCAGGCTCTCCAGCTAACTACAGGACCATAACCCAGGCAATCTAGACACCCATCCTGGGAAAGCCTTGTTTCTCCCTCTAAAAATACCATGGCAAATATCCAATAAAAGCCATATGTAATTTTGCTTCTTTAATAGCCCTGCTGAGAAACTTTTTGCTAGCCCCTCTCCCACTGTCTACCCTAAGTATCAAGCCCACCCAAAGTCTTCCAGGTATTTGGGGCCTTTCACTGTGCAAGCCCCATCACCTTTCCAATTTCATTTCCAATCTCCTTCCTAGTTGCACTCCAGGCCCCAGAAACGCCACCTTGTCCTCTTCCCAGCACATGCGGGTCACTCAGGCCCTTCTGCCTTTGCTGCTCCTCCTGCCCGTGATGCCTATCCCTGCCTCTGCCTATGAACTGCTCACCCTTCAGAATTCCGGCTCAGATGTCACCACTGCTGTGAAGTCTCCCTTGGTGGCTCTGAAAGGCAGTTACTTATGTCCTATTCTGTGGTCCCTAAGTACCTTGCATGTACCTTTATTAAAACATTTATTGCAATACATTCTGGTTAGCTGTTTATGAAAAACTAAGTGCCTTGAGGGGAAGGCTGCTGTTCACTTCTTATTTATTTTGCCTAGACAGTTTCTTGCCCTCAGTAAGTACTTAATGAACTTTTGTTAAACCTATGAATGAATAATTAGATTCAAAAATAAATTCTTGATTGTTTTCTCCCGTCTCTCGCAAATGTTTGTTCTGGAATATGGAAACACGATGGCAAGTTTAAAACAGATCTGGATGTGTGGCTTTAGGGACACATCTGTACAAATCTATATCTCACAAATGGCAAAGAGATACAAACTCCATTCTTTCCTCCCCTGAACTGTTAATATCTCTAAATCTAGAGGCAGGCAGCAGGTTTCTCTGAGAACACATGCGACGTCAGCTCAATGCAGTGACAATGCTAGGACACCCAGAGAGCCAGAGCTGAGGGAGGGAAGAGGTAGAACAAGAGAGGGTCTCGGCATCAGGTCAAGACAAAGCCCTACTTACCTCCTTCTTGGGAATTCATGATGTTCAGGGCAAACAGCATCGCATTGGAGAACGTAGTTGCCTCTTCTTTACTTGCAAAGTTTAAGCCGTAGACTTGGCGGGCATCTCGCCACTGGTGGAAGGTTGGCGTGGCCTGATTGTACTTCAGCCCTTTCACGATTGAATAATTGATCACAACCTGGAGGAGAAAGGAGAGAGAAATACGTGTAAATAAATAAAATGTAAGTGAGCTGGAGGGCGCTGTGATGGGGCATGTATACTATATCCTTGAGAGGACAGGGAGATGGGGATGGGGTTTGAAGAAGGAAAAAGCAGTATCAGGCAGATTTTCCTTTATTCTTTCCTTTAACTAATAATGCAATGTAGTTCCAACCTCCAGATGAACAGCTGAGCTGTTCTCCAATTATAAGATGGGGATAATAATTCTGGCTTTATAAATAGAATGGGGTTACTGTGAAGATCACATTGTGACACGTATCTTACCTATATCTTATTTATAGCTTACCTTCTAGATACAAAGCTCCTAAGGGCGAGTCTTCTATAACTCATATTTATGCCTCCTATAGCCCTCTGCATAGTGTCTAGTACTTCGAATGCATTAATAAGCCGGTTATTTGTCAAAAGGATAACCTGGAAAGTTGACGTGCCACACTTCTATACAGCATTATTCATATCTTTATTATTAACCAATCAAAAAGCATCAACTGGCTGCCAGGAGCAATGCCAGGCCCAGCAGGGAAGGATACAGAGATGACAGAATCCAGACATTCAAGTGCTTACAAGCTGCCAGGGACACAATACCAGGTCTGCCTGACTTCTAAATTTCTGCTCTTTCAGATATTTAAAAGAGGATTATTTTGGCCGGACATGGTGACTCACACCTGTAATCCCAGCACTTTGGGAGGCTGAGGCAGGAGGATCACTTGAGGTTGAGAGTTTGAGACCAATCTGATCAACATGTAGAAATCCCGTCTCTACTAAAACTGTAAAATTAGCCGGGTGAGGTAGTGCATGCCTGTAATCCCAGCTACTTGGGAGACTGAGGTGGGAGAATTGCTTGAACCCAGGAGGCGGAGGTTGCAGTGAGCCGAGATCGTGCCATTGTACTCCAGTCTGGGTAACAAGAGCAAAACTCTGTCTCAAAGAAAAGGATTATTTCAAAGTACTTTAAGACCACATTCATAAGTGGTGCCCTGGAGGAAAAGATGCTGGGGCTGGAGACCTCATTCTGCTCCCCATCCCTTCTAGCTTGAAGCCACATGATCTAACATCACAACACTTATGAATTATCAGTTTTCTTGCGTGTCAAATGGAGAAGAATGTGATACGACTATGGCATGGCACCCTCATAGTGTGTTGTGAGGATTAAATTATATATGAGAAAGTAACTGACACAGCTCCTGGCACAAGGTAGGTTGCCAATGACTGAATGGAGAAGTATGAAGACCTCTACAAATGGAAGTATGCAAGCAGAGTCTGGATGAGGCCAGAGGGCCAGCTCTTAGAGACGCCATGGAAAGGATTTTGCTTTAGAAGTACAAGATGATTTCTCAGATCTTGTCTGGTTTTGAGGCTGCAGGGCTGACTGTGATCTGAGGTTGGGACTAACTCTCTCTATGCTGATTTATCACTTTCCTCTACTGCTCCACACTGCTGTGCTTGCTGGATAAGGTAAAACCAGAGGACAACAAACACGGGTGCCATCCAGAAAAGCTGTTTTCCAAGTCTTAGGTGAAGGTGAACTTGGGTCTTCCTAAGACAGGCAGAGGCAGGGAAAGGGGAGATATACACATATAGTACACTAAATAAGCTAAAGAAACATAATTCAGGCTGAGCACCATGGCTCATGCCTATAATCCCAGCACTTTGGGAGGCCGAGGCGGGAGGATCACCTGAGGTCAGAAGTTTAAGACTAGCCTGGCCAACATGGGGAAACCCTGTCTCTGTTAAAAATACAAGAATTAGCTGGGAATGATGGTGGATGCCTGTAGTCCCAGCTACGTGGGAGGCTGAGGCACGAGAATCACTTGACCCCAGGAGGAGGAGGTTGACCCCAGTGAGTCCATATTACACCACTGCACTCCAGCCTGAGTAACAGAGCCAGACTCTTTCTCAAAAATAAAAGAAACGTAATGGTTTCACAACCTAATTGTTACATATTGACAGGCACATATTTTGGCCAAAATCTATACACAAGTTCCTGGGTGGTTCTCTATTTTTTTGCTCTTTGTGCTTGGAGTACAGATTCACGTGCATATATAGCTAAATCAAAAGAACTGGCCTGGGGATGACTAGGTTTAGTTATACATTATCAGAAAAAGGACTAATAAGAACTAGCAAAGTTGACCATTGTTAAAACAGCTCTTAAGATTAGAGGACACATTTGTAGCGGAACAGTGACCAGAACAAGAGAAGAGAAAAGACTGCTCCATTCTGCCCTGGTAAGTCCCTATCAGAAGTTCTGTGTTCAAGTTTTTTTGTTTTCATTTTTGATGTTACATTTCTAGTGGGCATTAACGAACTGAGGCAAGCCAGAGGAAAATGCTTTAAATTGAAGGAGGTCTGAAAACCACCTTCTGTCAGGAATGGTTAAGAGATACTGAAGCAAGATAAAAGATGCTTTAGTATTTCAGGACTACTGTCTCCAGATACTTGAGGGGATGTTCTGGGGAAATGAAATTTAGAAGCCTTGGCTGGGCGCGGTGGCTCAGCCTATAATCCCAGTACTTTGTGAGGCCAAGGCAGGCAGATCACAAGGTCAGGAGATGGAGACCATCCTGGCCAACATGGTGAAACCCACCTCTACTAAAAATACAAAAATTAGCTGGGCGTGGTGGCACGTGCCTGTAATCTTAGCTACTGGGGAGGCTGAGGCAGAAGAATCACTTGAACCAGGGAGTTGGAGGTTGCAGTGAGCCGAGAATGCGCCACTGCACTCCAGCCTAGATGACAGAGTGAGACTCCATCTAAAAAAAAAAAAAAGAAAAGAAATTTAGAACCCAATGATTTGATTTTTAATTAAAAAAAATTTTTAGTATGTTTTTTAAATACAGAGTCTTGCTCTGTCACCCAGGATGGAGTGCAGTGGCGTGATCTCGGCTCACTGCAGCCTCTGCCTCTTGGGTTCAAGTGATATTCCTGTCTCAGCCTCCTGAGTAGCTGAGACTACAGGTGCATGCCTCCATGCCCCAGCTAATTTTTTTTCTTTGTTTGTTTGCTTTTACTAGAGTCAGGATTTCACCATGTTGGCCAGGCTGGTCTCGAACTCCTGACTTCAAGTGATCCTCCTGTCTTGGCCTCCCAAAGTGCTGGGATTACAGACATCAGTCACCATGCCTGGCCTGGAACCCTATGATTTGAGATCTCTGGTTGGCTGCATTCTTAGAGAGAAACTTAAGGTGAGTGAGAATTTTTTTTCCCTAAACTTCAAAATAGCTCTTGGGGGGAAATGAGAATTGAGGGGCAGCTGACACCTAATCGAGAATACAAAGAGTATGGCCAGGAGATAATCACTGAAGGGGCTCAACAGGACCTTAGGGACTATCTAACTCAATCTGCTCTTTTTATAGTCAAGAAATGAGATCCAGGGAGAATGCGTGACTTGTCCAAAGTTACACAGCGAGCTAACAGGAGAATTGGATTTAGAAGCTGAGGACTTTGTGATTTTTTTTTTGCCAGTATGGTAGTCCCCCCTTATCCATGCAGGATTGGTTCCAAGACCCCCATTGACTGCCTGAAATGTGGGTAGTACAGAACCCTATATAGACGATGTTTTTTCTTACACATACATACATATATACCTATGATAAAGTTTAACTCATAAATTAGCCATAGTCAGAGATTAACGATAACTAATAATAAAATAGAACAACTATAATATTTGGAATGGCACACAATTTAAAATTTCTGACTTATTTATTTCTGGAATTTCCCATTTACTATTTTTGGCCTGCAGTGGATCTTGGCCTCAGAAAGTGAAGCCACAGCTAAGCGGGGTACTGTTGTATAATGGGCTGCAATCCTTCCTATTCCCTCTCTGGTCCTAGCACTAACCTTTGGAGTCTCATAAATTGCTTCTAACTGCAGGAAGTTTTAGGATACTGGACTGGGCGAGTGCAATGAAGCCTTTCTAGAAAAATCCCTGTTCTGTAAGTTCTCTGGGCTCTGCCACACATGGCTGGTCGCTGATTGAGGGCTCCTGGGCCTGCCAGTTCTGCTCTGTCCACAACTACAGTACAAAGGCTGCTTACCAAGTGCTGCCGTTTGGTGTCTACTCACAGCGCAACGGTCTACGACTGCTTTGAAGACAAGTATACTGGGTACAAGGAATTAGCAGAGGGTTTTACGTCAGAGGGCTCTGCATTAAAATCCTGGCTTTATTAGTTTTCAGTTGTATAACCTTAGACAAGTTGCTCATATCAGTTTCCTCACACGTAAGATGAAGATAATATTATAAATAATACTGCACTGAATATTCTTGTGAAGAGGTATTTCTACAGGATATATCCCTGTAAGCTGAATGACTAGACATGACCATTTAAAAATTTCTATTTATTATTTGAAAATTGACTTCTAAAACAGGGGAGGGAGTCCAATGCAATGTGTTTGAATGTATGTGCGGTGACACAAGGCCAATGTCGCTTGACCATCTGCTGAGAGGTGTCCAGTGTTCATTAACTGCCAGACAGACCTGACCAGCCGACAGCTAAAACCTCAGTACCTAATGGTTCGACCTCTTTGTTTACTCTGCTTAGAGTGAGTCAGAGGATCCACCTGAACACGTGCATTTTTGCAAGTCCACTTTTGGTTGGGGCTGTTTCATTTAGTACCCTTCACCCAACACTCCCCAATAGAGATAACTATGTTTCTTATTTCTAGCACCATTGGCAAAATGCGTCTGTTCTTCAGCTACATAGAAATGGATTCCTGTGGTACACGGTATGTACTCTTTTGTTTCTGGTTTCCTTCCCTCAACACAATGTTTATGAGATTCACCATGTTATTGCATATATCCATATTTCATTCATTTTTTTTTTTTTGACCGAGTTTTGCTCCTGTTACCCAGGCTGGAATGCAATGGCACAATCTCAGCTCACTGTAACCTCTGCCTCCTGGGTTCAAGCAATTCTCCTACCTCAGCCTCCCAGCTGTGTACCATCACGCCTGGCTAATTTTTGT